GGGTTTAGGGTTTAGGCTTTAGAGTCCAGGGTTTAGGGGTTTAGGGTTTCGGGTTTAGGGGTTTAGGGTTGAGGATTTAGGTGGACCCAGACTGTCTCGCCCTACCGAGGACACCTGCGCGCAAGCAAAAAGGGAGCCGACATCGACTAGTACTGCAAGATTCTTCCTGGGCTCTTCATGAACCCGAATATCCTAAACCCTAAACCCCAAACCCCAAAAGTGCAGGGACATGAATACCCTGAAGCCCTAAATCCCGATCCCAAACACTGAATCCCAAACACTCCGCAAATTCAAGTTTTGGGGTTTAGGGTTTAGAGTTTAGGGTTTAGGGTTTAGAGTTTAGGGCTTAGGGTTTGGGTTTAGGGTGAGTCGTCTGGCAGACCAAAGCTGTAAGTCCTATTGGGGTTTAGGCTCCGGGTTTAGGGTCTTTGGGCTCTAATGTAGGGGCCTTAGGAATATCTAGAGTACTTTGGGGGTTCCTTATAATGACTAGAGTATAATATGCCAACAAGATCAAATAGATCTAAAAAAGATTTTAAGAATATCTATTAAGTTTAATAAGATCGATTCAGATTTAGGCGCGCGAAAAGCTACAAGACAGCAATAGTATAGGATCCAAAACGATTACCACTACTATTTGCGGGGGGTCCTTATTATGACTATAGTAGAACATATCCCAAAACTCTGTTTTAATTATTCAAGCTCCTATATTAAACATCCCCAAACCCGTAAACCTCTTACACTCTCAAGGGGCCTCACAGATACTTAGTATCTGAATGAGTACAATTTACACTTTTTGGGGATAATATGATCCCTTATAGAACTGAAAGTGTATTTTGTTGGGGCTTCTGAACTCAGCAACTAAGCATGCTATGGTTTTCCAGACCACCTGCGAGCCCACGCCCAGGTGGAACAAGGTTTCCTGTCAGCCGATCGGGTTTAGGGTTACGGTTTAGGGTTTAGGGTTGAGGTGTTGTGTTGGTGGCGCTTAGGCTTCTTCGGATACTCATGATGGCATCCGACCACAACTCACTTGACAGGTTGTGTCGGATAAGAAAGGCAACTCAACCTAGCAGGAAGGTCGGCCCTAATCCAATGTCAGCAGACAAGAAACCTGCCTTTGGGGCATACGGCATACTCTCTTAACCTCACATGGGACTATAAGGGCGTAGTCTTTCCATTTATTCAGACCCTCCATTACATCCTGCCCTACTAAGCCCTATGAATCAATTCCAAACCCTTCCGCAAGGCACCTACCAACCAATGGGCCAGCGACGTGTTCCCTTCGCTTGCTGATCCCATGCAGCCCGTTCACCTCGCCAAGGAGACAGGGCTGGGTTCAAGGGCTTTTGGGGGGTTCAAGAATTAGGGTGTAAGGTCCTTAAACTCCTGTAATGCACTTTCAAGGGACCTTTATAGAAGCCTTAAGCGGCATGAACACACGGGTCATGGAGCCCTTATCGAGGCCCCTTAAGCTCCATGAAACCCCCATCAAGGAGCCCTCGAGACCCTAAACCCTAAACCCCTAAATCCTAAACCCTAAACCCTAGACCCTAAACCCTAAACCCCTAAACCCAAAACCGTAATGGACCCTCGCAACTCCGAGACTGTTGCTCTTTGGTCTCTGGGCCCCTCTTGGGCGAAGACTGCAGTCACTCCGAGGTTGCAGCAGGGGCGGTGGTTAGGGTTTAGGGTTTA